CAAAGAACAAAAAAATCATATCATATTGTGAATGAAGGGAAGTGCGAGATGGGGACCCAATGCCCATCTGCAGACAACTGGACATCCCTTTCAGAGGGGTAGTGGGGAGGAGACGAGTCACTCAGGGTGCGGTGTAGCATCGATGAAACACACAACTTTCCTCTAGTTCTTAAATGCTCCCCGCCACACAACCCCTCACTATCATGATCCCAATTTTTCCTTTCAAATCCGGCTAGACCGGAGGATTTACAGTGGTGCAGATAGGAACTGGAAACACAGGGAATCCAGGACAGATGAACCCCTCAGGACCAGTGGTGAGAGTGGTAATACCAGGAGGGTGGATAGAAGGGGGTGTAGAAAGGGGGATCCGATTATAAGGATCTACATATAACCTCCTCCCTGGGGGATGGACAACAGAAAAGTGGTTGAAGGGAGATGTCAGGCAGTATTAGATATGATAAAATAATAATAATTTATGGATTATCAAGGGTTCATGAGGGAGGTGGGAGCGGGAAGGGAGTGGGAAAAAAATGAACCGATTCCAAGAGACGAAGCAAAAAGCAAATGTTTTGAGAATGATGAGGGCAATGAATGTACAAGTGTGCTTTACACAATTGATGTATGTATGGATTGTGGTAAGCGTTGTATGAGCGCCCAATAAAATGATTTAAAAAATTTACATTCAATATACAGAAATCAATGGATAATTTATGTTACATGTTTCAGAGATTGGGGGTGCCTTGCAGTTTCTTTATGAGAAAAATTCTAACTTTTCAACCATTTGCTTTCTTATAATAGATTATGAAGTCTATTATTTCAACAATAATGGAATCAGGCACTCAGTGACCAGAACCAGAAAGCCCCAGATTTTAAAAAGAACAGTACGTTTAAGTATGTTCATTTAGAAATTTTCCAAAATGATCCTTCACCCATTTCAGAAGGCCAGCTTACCTGATCCCTCGAAGCTTCGCCCTGTTATCGTGGCGGTCCATGAGATTGTGCAAGACTTCCAAGACCAGCTGCCTGAGTTCATAGTCTTCCATGAGTGAGGAAGACAGCAAAGGGTCCAGAAAAGACGTAGGCAGTGCAGTGACAATGGTCTTGGCTTTGTATCCACAGGTTACCTGGTGACAGAAAAGAAAAAACAAAACAAAAACCTCTTTTGGCAAGAGAGCTTCATTAGGATAACTCTGAAAAGTTTTTATAGGAACCACAAAAGAAATCAGAAGGTATGAATATAAAACCTGCAGGAAAAACAAAAGAAAAGGGGTAGAAGAATTTTACTGAGTTTACAAAAGCATCCATCGTAAGGAAAATACACTTGCTAAGAGTTCATAGGTACTGAATGAATGGCCCCCCTGAGCACACTGCTGGGAGGGGTGGGGCACAAGGGGCAGCTGGTCCAGAGAATGTGGGCCAAGGTGTCATTGTTAAGAAATCCTTTGGCCTTTTACTCAGTGTCGTGGAAGCAAGCAGGAGCAGTTATTACCCACCAAACACAGGCCCCACGTTTGGGTGCGCTTTTCTCTGTCAGTTCTTTACAGCGCCTCCCTCACTGAGAATGAAAATACTACCTTTTGGGAGGGCAGGGTTATTTTCCAAGTGAGAAGCAAATGTGGTGAGTATGTGATAGAAACAGTGTGACCTGTAGGAAAAACACTGGCCTTCGAATCCACATTCTACATTTTAGCTCTGTGACCTTGGTGAGCGGCAACTCTGCCCGTCTCAGGCCCCGGATGCCCCCCTCCAGCCCTCTGGGCTCTGTCTCTGATCCCTACTCCTCACGCACGTCCAGCAGGACAGAGGACGACACTGCCAGAAACAGGGCATCGGGAGTAAAAATGGATTATCTCAACATATCAAAATGTAAACCACAGAATAACCATAAACACTGTAAGAAAATGCAGCTGGTAATTAGAGGATAGTTTAGTCTTTCAAAAATTTTAAATGCTGTGTCCTTCATTTGCCTTCAAAACCTTACCATAAGTAACGATCGCAGCAGCATTATCTGAATCCGCCTGGTCCCCAAATCCCTGAAACACACAAAACTCTGTTACCATAGCAGTACAAATTCACACAAATGGTATGTCATTCACGTACGCGGTAACTCAGCTCTGTTCCTATGAGCTGCTTTGATTTGAACAGGAAAAGCTGTGGTCACTTTGCACTGAGTAAACTGATGTTCATTAAGGAACTAAACTAGGGAGAAAAAGATCGCATTCAAACCAAAATTAAAAGCAAAACAATGAAAGTACAGATTCTCAAAGGAAAAATACCAAGGCCTACGGTTAATGATATTAGCTCATATGGCAGCATATCTAAGCAATCTAAACTAAAAGAAAATATGAAATGGAGAAAATATTTAGTGCAAATGTAGCTGACAAATTTAACATCTAGCTAAAACATAAACACACAAAGGACAGACTATTCAAAAATTAATTAAGTAGAAAGGGTTTTTTTATTAATTAGGGGTCAGATATAAATCAAAGAATACAACTCCTGATTAACTTATCACTCAGAAGCACCCAAAAATTAAAGCTTTAGCAACATGTAAAAGGAAATCAAACTTGTAAAACAGAGAGTCAGGAGCAGCTGATCTGTAAGGTCCCACTCAGTTCTCAAATTCTAATGCCACGTTTGTCTTACTTTGACACTCACTAACTTTACACATAAACCGGAAGCTCTCCCCTCGATGTGTAGGTGTGCACCAAATGCCGTGCCAAACCAGCCTTCTGCCTGGACAGTATGAAGTCAGGCAGCAGATCCAGAAAACCTACGCCTTTTTGTGCACCAGAAACCATTTCTAAAAGCACACACACACACACGGACTCAACTGCTTAGTAACCTCAAACCCAAAACAAAACTCACTGCCATAGAGTCAGTGCCAACTAATATAGCTCCTATAGGAGAGGGTAGCCCTGCCCTGCTGGTTCCTGAGACTTTCTCTTTATAGTCCTTCTGCGTCCAGGAGGCTGGTGGTTTCAAACTGTTGACCTTGGAGTTAGCAGCCCACTACGCCACCCAGCATAGTAACTGAGAACAGTAAAAATACCAACTGCTTGTAGAAGGCACGTCTCTGCCCCAATTGAAAGACAAAACTACCACTTTCCATATTTCTTTTACGTGAAGCTAAACTGTCCTAGGAGGAGTGGCCCCCAGAAGTGGCGTACCCAAGCTGGCTGACATCCAGAGTGTGCGTGGAGGTCCCAAAGACGGGCACTTTGCCCATAATGAACATCATGATTTCCGACCGCTGGTAATCTGGTAGGTTGCTTCCAAAAAACCCTGTAAGAAATATACAGATACATTTTAAACATGGACAAGTGGACCAATCCATGTCATTTCTTTTTATTAAAATGCTCAGTGTTTGTTCACAGAAAGATTATCTATAATTCTAAAGACAGAATCATTTCATTATCCAAAATCACTTAATCACACGCACTAGAAGATGTAGGTAGGGACTTGTTTCTGGAGAGGAAAATCAGTGCCTGAAGGTGCCTTCTGCTTGGAGTCCAGTGGTCAACCTCGATGCATTTGAGTGGATCCACATTTTCGAAAAATCAAAGAGGAGGAGACTTTCAGTAGTACTTCTGACAAAAACAGATGCTCATATGTAAATGACAAGAAAAAAATTCTGGGGGAGGTGGGGGGATAAGGGGGAACTGATATTAAGTAGTTGAAGGAAGAAAATGTTCTGAAATTGATTTCAGTAGTAATTGTAGTAACTGCTTGATGTGAGTGAATTATGGAATGGTATGACATCTGGATTAGCTCCTAATAAAATGGCTTGGAGGGGAGAAAAAAAGTCCAAACCCACTGCCATTGAGTCAATTCTAATTCTTACAACTTTATCTCCAAAGCTCACTGATGTCTGTTCTGACTCATAGCCACCCCGACGGACAGAGTAGAACTGCCCTGTGGGTTTTCAAGACTATACATCTTTATGGGCGTAGAAAAGCTCATCTTTCTCCTGCAGAGCCGCTGGTGGTTTCAAACTGTCGACCTTGTGGCTAGCAGTCCAACTTGTAATCCTCTCCTCAGCAACCCTCCAGGCTGGAATCACACTGCTTGAGAGGGTTGCTGAGCCAGTCCATCTTTCAACAGGAGTGAGCCAGCCTGGTCTTGCACCTGAGCAGCAGCAGTTCCAACTGCGGCCTTTGAAGTTAGCCGCCCCAACATACAACCCATTCTGCTACCAGGGCTCGTTTGTGCACAGATAAAGCCTAGAGGCCCTGAAGAAATCAGTAACTAGGCCAGCTCTGCCTGCTAAAGAAGTCGGTAATTAGCCCACTACCTTGGCTTCTCTAGACTGCTCAAATGGTTTCAGATGTTATTATAACAAGCCAGTCTACAGTTCAGCCTCATGGTTGAGTTCTCCAAACGTAATTGAAATGATGTAAAAACCAGATGGCCCTGGTTCCCTTGACAATTTCCCAGGCGCAGTGGGTTGGGAAGAGATCGCCACTACGTCTTTTGGGACTGGTGGCAATTTACTCCTGGCCATAAAAATGTTTACTCACAAACGTCACACTGACCTCTTTTTCTTTGGAAAGGTCATCAGGCTAACAGATTGTGGCTGTTTCCACATAGTTCTTTAAAATGCAGCATAATCAGTTCAGAAAACCCTTGCATTTTCATTATTTCTTAACAATCAGTTGGGTTTTCAACCGCATGCTGTAGTTTTTATTACTGGTATTAAGTATCTACTTACACAAACCCAAAGGGGCCAACAGGGCATTTTGATTGAGCCTCGGGACAGGGGTCTTTTCCCTTCCCATTACCACACCCTTCTCCTTCCTTCAATCAAAGACCTCACCATCACAGCATTACGAAACACTCATCAAGCAGCATTATTTGAAGTAACACCCAAGGTGCACTTGGCTGTGGGTTTAGGAAGTCATTTGATGCATTAGCTCCTGGGCTCCTTACAGCAAACTTATGAGCTTAGAAATGACCATGAGCCTCCGATTTTCTCTCAGGGACAGCAAGAAAGCATGCAACCAACATGAGTACTAAGGCTTGAGGTAAGGACTATTTACTTGCAAAGCCTATGCTATTTTTACTTTTTAACTTCTTCCATAAGGGATTTTGAACTTTCCAATGACCCAATTAGGAATGTTCCTAACCACACACAAAAATCAGACCCCAATTTTCTGTTCCAAGTAAGTTAATCATTACCACAAAGACATCATAAAGCAGCATGCACTTCTGCTGAACACGATTTCACTCGAGACTGACCAACTGCAGTGGTATCAGCTTAAAGCGTTAACAAGCACCCTCACAGCCCTGCAGAGTGGGTCCCTGGGATAGGAACATGGACTTGGGCTCCACCTGCCCGTGAGTGTTGTGTAAATTTGCCCTCACTTAGCAATGACTACCCCTACTCAGCAAATTCTTCATCACATCCACTTTTAAATCAATGACGAGGACCGGAGCCTTGCCGTGCTCTCACGTGCAGCTAAGTAAGCCCCCTAAGCAGCCCCTGTGCCAACTTACCTACCAAATCAACTTCAAGACACACTCAGGAACAGATCGCAGGCATAACCAGGGCACTGCCTACATTCAACAACGCTCCTACCACCAGTTGATAACCATTTCTCCTGCTATTCTAAGGGTGGAGTAGTTTTCCCAAAGCCAAAGACTCCCAAAGGTGGTTGCATGTTGAGTCAGCTGGGGAGATGTAACCCTCCGGAGGCCCAGGTTTCATTCCAAACCAATTCAGCAGTCTACATGAGGGAGGAACCCCAGTATTTTAAAGACTCCTAGGTAATTTCGGAGGAGCCCTGGGGGCACTGTGGTTGCATGGTGGGCTGCGTGCGACCTGTGCGGTCAGTGATTCAAAACCACAGCGGCTCCTCGGGAGAAAGATGGGTTTTCTACTCCCGTAAAGGGTTTCAGTCTCGGAAACCTACACAGGGTCATTTCTACCGTTTTATAAAGGGCACTGTGAGTCAGCAACCATTCCCTGACAGTGAGTTTGGTATTAGGTAATTTCACAAGACCCCTGGTGGCATAGTGAGTAATGTGCTGGACGACTAACCACAAGGTGAGTGGTGTGCAAGTACCAGCCGAACCTCTGGGAAAAAGATGAGGCTCTCTACTGCCATACAAAGCTAGTCTCAGAAAACCCACAGGCAGGGTAGCTCTACCCTAGCCTACAAGCTCCCTATGAGTCGGAATCGACCGGATGGTAGTAAGGGAATTTCAATGTGCTGCAAAGTTTGGGAATCAGTGCTAAGGAAACTTTTCTTTCTCTCGCCCACATATATAATCAACTGAAGTTAGCTCAGTAGCAGGCACCAATTAATGCTAAGATTGCTAAAATCCCACAAAGAATCACTGTAGAACAACAGAAAGGCAACTCATTCATGGGGTTGGGTGGGGTGTGCGTATACATTTAAAACAAGAGTGTCGAATAGGGTCTGCAGTGAGGGTCCAGCTTACTCTCTACCCTCTGCCACTTGGAAGTTCTGAAATGAAGCACGAGGACCTAGAGCCAAGAGACCAGGCAGGGGCCTACCTACGTGTTCTTAAAAGAAAAGAGGGCTTGGCTGAGCGCTTCCTAAGGTAAAATGCAAAAATTGCAACAGCTTGGGGCAGCCCATGGAACTCGTCCCAGGTCACCAGGGACTTCTCAAAGAAAATCTGGAGTCTGATCTCAACAACCTTCCCCGGAACAGCCTTCCCGAACCTTTCTCCTCTCACACTCCCGTTATTCAGGAAGGACTGTCTCACCGGAACACTGCCCAGGTCTGTGGTAGGTTCATTTTATAACAGAATACTTGAGAAACAATCAATTAAGCATTAAACAGTAGCAGTGAACTAACCAGAAGTCACAAAAGCAACTTAATTTTGTAAAAATGACATTAATTGATCTGAGAATAGCCTGGAAAATCCACAAATACAAAACCTTTTCTTAGTGCTACTGCACACTTAATGGGCTTCAGTACTGTGCAAAAATATCTTTTATATGCACTGGGAAACCAAACAATTGCATGTGGCCAGCTGTAGTTCCCCATTAGCTGTAGATCCATCTATGATCCAATTAACATGAGCCACAGCCAATAGAAGTTAGGGTTGCTACAGACTGACACTAATTGCTTTAAGAATGAGAATGTCTCTGGTTTTGTGTGTGATTAATGGAAATAAAAGCTTTCTTAGCAACCTACAGTGTGTTAGACAGTGTTTTGAAGCCACTTGGGCCTTTGTCCTCCTGGGGACGAAGATTCCACGCCTGGTCAGTATGGCCCTGCCTCCAGCGGAGCAGCCAAGACTCACCAGGGACAAGTCCTGCGCCCTGGGTAAACGTAACCCACTAGTGGGGAACCTACCCACCTCTGAGGCACAGGCCAAGCTCCAGGGGGCATTTGTTTATGACTTTACGAAGAAAGAAACTAATGGTAATCATGAACAATTCAATCCTAAATACCAGGACCACAGCCCGATTTGGAAATTCTCAAAGCACCCATGCAGTTCCACAAAACTTCAATTGGAATCTTCTAAAGAAGAGAGCGGGTGCTAACTAAGGTGTTTACAGTAGCAATACAACACGCTTGCTTTCATGTCTTTATGTCAAGGTACACAGACATGTGGTTTATTTTCAAAATAAAAAGTTCTTTAAAAGTCTACGCTGTCCCTCTTCATCTTGGACAAGTGGACTGCAGGAGGTCAAGTTCCTTAGTGAGGTACTTTTCTGGTTTGTAAATCACTGTTTTACCTGCAGGGTCCCCAAGTGATATCAACTCACCTATGGTTTGGATGATAGCGTTCTGCACGATCTTCTCATCGCTGTCTTTGGAACATGTGGTCAAGGCGGTACTGCCCGTAGAGCTCCCTTGTAAGTCACCGGCTTCAAACTCCACACTGAGACGCAGGTGCTTCAGTAAAGTGTTGAAGACTTCCAGGACCGTGGGGCCTACAAGAAACCATGGCAAGGACACTGTGACTTGGGAACTTTCTAGGTCAAGAAGTCATCACATATCATGGGCAACACACTGCTTGCAACCCAGGTAGAAGCCACACAACATGTGTGTACACAGAGAAGGATTAGCAAAAACACTTTAGCTACCTAACCTCGCCTACTCTAAAAATGGAGTACTGGTTCAATGTGCAACCTGACTGCGAGGTGGAATCCATAACGTTATCACAGGCTCATTGTATCTGGCAGACTTATTCTGCATCTTCTGAGACTGGAAAAGGAAGACTTTGCCTCAATTACCAGACAGACACTAGCCGATTATCCTTCAGGTAAACTGGGCTTGCTTGCTTGATACTTTGATGCTCTGAGCTCCGGACTCCTCTGCCCATGTTCCCAGCAGGCCTATCAGACCGGATTTTCACGAGTGGCTCTTCTCTTGGTAGCACCTCTTAACTGTGAGCTCCTCCAGGACGGGTCTCCAAGTGCACATGCCCCTTCAAGTGCACAGGCTAGCAGAGAACCTAACTCAGATGCTGCGTTTTTTATGAAGGTTTGTGACAGCCCTGCCAACCAACTGGCGCCAGCCTACCAGCGCCATTTTCACAACAGCCTGTGCTCACTTTGTACCTCTGTCACACTCTGGTAATTCTACAATCTTTCAGAGTTTTTCATCAGGCCAGTGACCACTACGAGCCCACAGTACGGCGCCAAGCTAACTCTTCCATGAGCTGGGAAGCCAAACCAATCCGGGTGACCCACTTTACAGTGATAATCGCTTTACTGCTGGAACCGAACCTGCAAGACCCCTGATGTAAGTAAGCCTGTATGGAATAAATGTGAGGATTCACTGGATTATCTGGACTTCATTTCACACTTCAAATTATTTCCCGATTAAACAATGTGGTTCCTTCCTCTCTTATAAATATGCAAAAGCCATGTGCAAAAGAGCACCGTGGATTCGACACTGAGTTATGGATACACCTGATACTGGGCACTGCTGTCTTCCTCCACGTTGACTTTGAAGGACAGACAGCTCGCTCCCCTGCATGCACACTTCTGTAACAGACCCTTCCGTAGCTTACTCACAGGGAGGTGAGTCCGTCAGTCGGTTGGTCAGTCAGTCAGTCAGTCAGTCAGTCAGTCCGGAACTCCTGCTGGGTTCCCAGGCCCAGCTCTACTGCTGCCAGCTGAGACCAAGTTCGTTCTCTCAGGCTCAGATAATTGTCATATGAGCCTCTTGTCTGTAACGTGTCTACATCTTGCTGCCAGGTGAATTTTCCCATCATGTTACCTCTGAGAAAGGTTTGTCGTCATCGTGATGTACCTTTGAGGTCATTTTCCACCCATGGCGGATCCCGTGTGACAGAGGAGAGCTGCCGCCCAGGGCTTCCTAGGCTGTAGCCTTTAGGGGAGCAGATCATCAGTGGGTTCAAACCACCAACCTTTCAGTTAGCAGCCAAAAGCTTAACCGCTGCACCACTCGGGCTCCCTTGAGGAAGAATGAAACTTCAAAGACTGCCAAAGACGATCAATGCCTGATGTAACTTACAGTCCCTGCTCCACCTTCCACTCGCGCACACCACATGTTCCGATACAAATGGACTACAGAGTTATCGGCGAGATGAACCCATTTCCCCTACTCTCTCTGAACCTGAGTTTTCTTAGGTGATTACAATCTGCCTTGCATTCTAGTACTAGATGGAGTTAATGTAACCCCAAGTAAAGGCTTACGTTTCTTCTATCTATATTCCCCAAAGTGTAATGCACAGCGGCACACAGAAACTTCATCCACAGAAAAGGAAGCACGAAGGGGAAGCTGATTTGAAGGGGGTAAGATTTGTGGGAAACCACAGAGTCACACATTAGACATCTCAGACGAATCCACGGCAGGAGAATTCCAAGGGAAAGTAAATGGAACGTGCCTGAGAGCAGAGGGCCACGCAACTGCTCTCCGCACTGCAACGACCTGTTATAGGCAGGCACTCACCTATGGAACCTTTGGCAGCAATGGCGACAGCTTCTAACAGAACCTGGATAATACCTGCTCGAACCCGGGGTGGATCTTTTTTACAAGCATCAAGGTGCCCTAAAATCTCCTGGATCACATGGTGAGAATACTGAGCCTAGAGGCCAAAGAAGGGTACAAAAACGTGGGAACAAGTAGTCATTAGTTAAAAACTGGTGGCTTTCACCGAAGTTAAAAAAAAAAGTTGACACTTACATGTCCCCTTAATTACAGGGGGTGGTTAAATATACTATGGCTCAATGAGATGATGTCTAGCCAATATAAACTGCTGAGAAATAAACAGGGATACTAGAAAATACTTATAATTCCTTAAGTGAAAGGTGCAAATTGAAAAGTATCATGTTCAACAGAACTCAAAGTGTTTTTAAAAAAACGTGGAAGAACAAAAATTTAAAAAACCAAAAAACAAAGCTTATCTATTTCTGAAAGGATCTATGAGTAATTGCTACTCTCTTTATGTTTCTGTCATTTCTAATTCTTCACAAAACAAACACTGATATAAGCTACGCTTATCATTTGTTAATAGGACAAAATGTCAAAAATAAGTAATTATCACATTTACATAATATATGTCTTCATTACCTAATAAAACAAATATTTCTTACTGTGGACACCTACCAATGCTAAAGAGTCAAAACTCTCATCCAATAAAGAACGGCTTTCACAACGAAAAGCTCCCGTGCCCTGGACATGGAAGTCTGTCGGCCTGTGTTCAGGCTGGTTCCAAGTGTGCGCTCCTGAGCAAGCTCCTCACCTCTCCACAGGTCAGCGTTCCGGCCTGGAGATGGGGATCACAGCCGACTCGCCCTCCCACCGTTAGGAGGAGTCAAAAAGATGTACTGTAGTAACACAGCCGGAAGACACAGCTGTTTCTTGATGGCTGCAGCTCAATGCCACTTTAATTTACAATTCGTATTTAACAGAGCTATTATATGTGCACAGTACAGACACACGATATTATAGATGTTGCTGCCAGGTGATGTCGAGTGGGTTCCGACTCATAGTGACCCGTGCACAACAGAATAAACACGATCGAGTCGGGTGCCGTCCTCACAGTCTTCTCAGGCTTGAGTCCCTCAGAATGGACAGAGAGGGTTCCATTTGGGGCCCCACCCCTGACTGTTCCACTGCTTTTCATAAGGCTCACAGTGGCTGACCCTTCAGACGTGGGCTGCCTATTCCTTCCTCTCAGTCTGCCAGCTCAGCTGAAACCTGTTCAACTGGGGTGACTCTGCTAGTATTTCAAATACTAGTGCCATAGCTTCCAGCATCACAGCAACATGCGAGACACCAGATAAGTGGTAAGTTTTATAGAGAGAAAGGTCTATAAATACACGGTATTACAGACAAGGTATTTTAATACAAACACTTTAGCACCTCAATGTAACATGAGTGAACAAAGTACATCCAAGATGTAAATTCTGCCACAACCCACACTGAAGGCTGTGTTACTTCTTCCTGCCTTAGTCAGCGGGCTATTTCAACCACGAGGAGGTTTCAGGGCATTAGATAGAGAGTTGGTATAAAAAAAGAGATCTTAAATCCCATTCACATAAAAGCTAACTGGGTTTGCTCTGGTTTGGACAAAAGCCAAGTTGGTCCCGCAGCAGATGAAAGTATCTTTACCACAAGGTACTTCTGAAACATGGACCAGCCCTGGTGGAGCGGCTCGGTGAGTGTGGCCTGCTAACCAAAAGGTCAGCAGTTCACACCCACGAGCCTCTTCGGGAGAAAGAGGAGGCGGCTGACTCGCTTGAAGATGCACAGACTGGTTTCTCGGAGTCAGACTTGACTTGAGGTTGTAAACACGCAGGGGCTCCCCGCTGTGAGCCTCTCTAAATAAGTATGCATTCCTCCAGTATCGTTTATTAGTGCAACAGACGATCACGATAAAGAGCAGCACCATGAATGCGGTTCATTTGGTATCTTTTCTTCTTGGCTCAGAAGACAATGAGTGGCAGGTTAGAAGACATATTTTAAAACCGGAACATATTTTATACGCTACCGTGTTCTCTATCTAGTTGATAACCTGACGTCCACATGGAACCAAAATGACTTTTCGGATGCAGCAGCCAGCAGGAAACACGGTCATACCTGAATGGAGTACATGATGACTTTAAAGCAGTGAACTGCAAATTCATTGGGCTCCCACAGCTTGTGATGATCCAAGTGCCTGCAAATACACGTACAGTTACTCTGAGAATTACCGATTTTTGTTACATGCTTTGCCTGGAGCACACGCGACACTATGTAAGCACACCAGTCAGAAGAAGAGTGACTAAAAGAAAGAGGATCTGCACTGCCAAATGCACGGTCTGACGTCGCTACGCTCACAAACACTGAACCCGTGAACACTGACACTGCCTGCCCATCGCCCCAGGGAAAGAAAAGGTTAGGCTCTGGCCACACTTTTGTCACGTGATGAGAACTTTCTCACTAGGGGGCGCTGTCTCATGGCACACTCACAGTGAGCTCGTGGCCCGCAGCACTGCGGCTTGTGCTGACTGGCACGGAGCTGCCACACGGACTCTCTGGAAAGCACATGGGGGCCTCCTGAGAGCAGACCTGTGGGCCAGTGCTAACGCACTACAATGGGGAGGCCGTCTGGAATAGTGGCATCCCCAGCAGGCTCAACGACATGGACAGCTTGCTCCGCAACAGACCCAAGTGCTGAAATGAGACGGTGGGCATTGCCATGGGTGGCCCCAGCTGGAAACGTGTGTGTGGTAGGACCCATCTGTCCACAATGGCCATGAGAGTGCCGTGAGCCCTGGTTTTGTGGTCACACATCCATTTTAACAAATAGGCAAACTTGCAAATATGGAATCCATGAATAGTGAAGACTCCCCTCAACTGCCAAACCCTGGCATAAAACAACCAAAGAGATAGGGTTTGCAACACCAATAAGAGGTGGAGCAAGCAAGAAAAGTCCCCCAGTCAAATGCCACAAGCAGTCTGGCTCTCTGGATTTGTAAAGACCTCTAGAGGCTGCTCCAGTTAGTCGTCGCACTGCAGTAACAACTGGTATGACATGGTCTGTTTGCCCATTACCATAAAAACTGTTTTAGTTAGATGTGACCTATTTCTTTTTCTTTTACAGAATTCCCATAGCCCAATCTGTAAGCAATTGAGCTTAACTGTTTTCAATCACAGAACCTTCTGAAAATCAATGGGTTCTCTCATTTCACACACAATTTTAAGGGGTATAGGCTCAAAGTTCAACCTTGAACTCTAGGCTAAAAATATCTACCCTAAATAGACCCTTCCGGATGTTACACTTGGATTACTTTTAAGTACCCTGTGCAGTCAAGAAGAAAAAAACACAACTCCGATCTTTAATAGAAGGTAGACTGTTCAAACTTCATAGCTATCATCTGAGGACAGAGTGAGACCACAAGCTTGATTCAAAAGTTGAGATTTTGTGTCTGTGTAGAGAAAACAGATAACTCACAAATAGATTCTGCCTATAGGATGGAGGCGTGAGATCCCTAATAACCCTGCTCTGATCAGTCACTAGTCATAACCTGGAACTGACTTGGAAGAGGCATGGGAAAGATCACACAGTGCAACCCCAGAGAGAAGCCAGGAAACAGCAGTCAGTCAGTCCAACAGGAGGAAGCATCACCGTGGACGCTCTGTGGCTCCACTTGGCTGCTAATATTTCATGCAATTCAAAGTCTGGGAGTGGGAATTCAAGTTAGATGATGCCTATGACATTATGTCCATTACGGTACTTCATACTTAGGGAGAAACAGTGAAGTGAGGGCTTGAGCCAGTGTTCAGACACGGGATGTCTGACTCAGGCCTAGCTGCTTGCCCACGCCACCCCCAGCACCCTTCTCGACCATCCAGGCAGGTGCAAGAAGACCAAGTTCACACTGCAAAGCCTGAGCCACCAGGGAGACCCAATTACTTACGCAAAGACGGGCCGAACAGCATTATTCATATTCCCAAAAGTAGCTCGGCCTAGCAGTTCTCTGAAACAGTTTTCTGCCAGCACAGAGGGGTTCTCTTCTTTGTCTACTGTGGAAGGAGAAGGAGGAGGGCCTAGTCGACTAAGAAAAAGAGAAAACAAGAAGTAATGTAAAATTTCTAATACTAGTTCAAGACTGGGCTTTCTTTTCCAGACTATTAAAATGATATGCTTTTACATCCCAAAGTAACTTTCAACCTTACTCCTCCCTTCAGGAGTTGCCCACCCTCACAGTCAGCCCTGGCATCTTTCACACTCCGCTGTCACGGACGTGTAACCACGAGAATGTGCCTGTGCTCAGTTTCACCCTACTTCTTTGTATGTAAAGCACAGTGTTAGTAAGACCACCATCAACACCCCAAGCTTTCTTAAAAGAACAATTCAGAAAGAGTCTAATGATTTGGGCGGAGAAAAAAACGGAATATATACTGAATAGCTATTATTTTTGTTGCGATGCGTTGGCATCAACTTGAAGACAGTGAGTTTGGTTTGGAGTTTTGTTTTTGTTGTCATCATTATTATTATTTTGGTTAGTTTTACCTCCCCATTAGGAGCCCTAATTGTGCAGTGGGTTAAGGGTCAGGCGGCTAACCACAAGGTCATTAGTTCAAACCCATCATCTCCTCCGTGAGAGAAAGACGAAAGGTACTCTCTGTGATAAAAACTTCCCACCTCAGAATACCACAGGGGCAGTCCTACCTGGTCCTACAGGGTCACTATGAGTCAGAACGGACTCAATGGCAGTGGGTTTGTTTTTTTGATTTTTCACCCCCCGACATGAAAGCATGCTGGAGCTCTAATGAATAACAAATGTCTAGCTATAATCTGTATTTCTCAGATGTGTGCCTTTAAGTAGTAATTCAATAGCAATTTGTATACTGGGTAATAAGCAGCAAAAAAAGTATACATTATAAAACAGATGAATAAAACCTAAAGGTTTTTAAAAATAAAGCCTAATGTGATCACTAGTAAATTTTATACTCTCCTTTCAACATAATTATTTTATAATAAAGTATACACACAAGTAACATAGCCTCAGCCCTAACAGCTTGCATGTCATACCTGTCCACCTCTTCGGTCTTCTGCATGTTAAACAGCAGGGACGGCACAATTTTATCCATATGCTGGGGTTCCCAAATGGTAGCCCGAAGCTCATCATTAACTGTTTTTCGAACCACTCCCTGGATGCCCCTTATTCCAGCAATTCGGATGCTGTAAGAGAAAAATGCTGTTAGTCATAGAAGAAAGGTTACTTAACAAGTGTCTCTAGGTAGTTAAGAGACGGATACTAAATGACTACTGTTGACATGAGCTATTACAATACAGACAATATACAGCCAGTCTGAGATAAAATCTCAAAGGGCCATAAAGACGGTATAAGATATAAAAATAATAATTTATAATTTATCAGGGGTCCAGGAAGGTGGGAAAGTGGGGGAGGGAGGGGAAAAAGAAGAGCTGATACCAAGGGCTCAAGTAGAAAGAAAATGCTTTGAAAATGATGATGGCAACATATGTACAAATAAGTTCGATTTTTTTGTATGGACTGATGGATGGATTGTTATAAAAGCTGTAAGAGCCCTCAATAAAATGATTAATTAAAAAAAAAAGAAACCACTGTTCTAAAAGAGGCTACTTTAAAAGCCATCTTTGAAAAATCGGCATTTAAAGTTTAAAAGGATTGCAAAGTCTAGAGACATGGAACTATCTGGTCTGTGCCCCGTCAGTAATCATGAACACTGCTGTGGCGTCCGCTAGCTTTTCCTACAGTGCTGCTGAGAACTCAGTTTGGGACAGTGAGTCCCCCCACCTCTTGCTGAGACACCCAGGAGCTCAGTGAGACTGGTGTTCAGGGCGCCTGACCACACGAACACCTCCTCAGCCTTTCCTCACCTCCTTCAGCCCACCAAAATGCAAGCCTGGCAGCAAATGGGTCTTGGAAGGTTCAACAAGTGCGCACCATGGAAACGGACAGCAGACACCTGGAACTACATAGGTCTCAGAGAGAACGCTGCCGATCTTCCATTCCTATTAATCCATAGCTCCCAACTTCCTCAAGTGATTTCTCACGGTTGTTTAAAATAAATAAGCTACAGGCCCCCGAGCCGGAAGAAAGAGGGGAAACGGCCTATGAAAGCTGCGGAGGAGCATCTTTTCCAGCTGAGGTGACCAGGTGGTCCACTGGCCCTTTAACCAATGGTGGTCGTGAAATGTTGACTAAGTGGATGTTTGACCAAAGCAGTCTTCCCAAAACTGTCAACAGGTTGAAAGACTGGAAGATACAGGGGCACAGATGTTATAAAGGCTTGTTTCACACACCCATGGGGAAATAATGGCAGTGTTTAGGAGCAGAAGACGGGGAATGAGATATGGTGGTAATGACACTGGCCAAGTTAGAAAAGGCAAGTGGGAGCCATAAAGACATATTTTTCCAATTCCAGACTATGTATACATCCTGCTCCTGTGCAGCTATCACAAGCAGGCAAATCTAGCACTACAATCAAAGACGTCTGCTGTGAACCTGCTGCTACTCCCTGGGGGTGTGTGTGTGTGTGTGTCAAAGACTGGGTCTGGGACTCTGTTGTCCCCCAGGAGTCTGCTCAGGGTGGTACCGAATCAGCGAGCAAGATGACAGGGCGTCTGATGGTCCAGGAGTGGAAATGAAGCAGCAGAAGTCTGGAGGTGGGGACTACCAACGGCTCCCACAGCTCCCCAATTGGCATCCAATCCTGATGTGACGTCTGGCTGAAGCAGCACGTTCCAGCCCTCATCTCTGGTGGTCTGTCCCCAGCAGGGAGGCAGAACCACCACGGGATCTACAGTACCAGTTACAATGAGTCAGTTCAGGCCCAGGGCTTCCACAGCCAGTGGCACCCCAGAAGTACTCAACAAGTTCTGGCTGCTGCTACTTGGGCTGCTAAGAGCTTTAGTGGGCTAAATGTTGAGAGGCTAACCTCGAGGTCAGCAGCTCAAACCCACCAGCACCTCTCGTGGAGAAAAATGAGGTTGTCTGCTCCCGTGCTGTCAACCCTACGGAGTAGCTGTGCCTGTTCTCCAGGGTCACCCAGAGTCAGAATGGACATGAGGGCACTGGGTCCTGGTGACTGGCTGATGACTCCCACCACAGCAGAAGGCTCTCCGTGTGCGAGCTCCAGGCTGAGGGGCATGATTTTACAAACGAGGACCGAGTTCTGCAAGGCCAACAGACATTTTACGAAAATCTCTAGTCATCACTCTTGTCCTCAGCTGCTCTGTGATTTCTATTTGGTAATGCTTTGCTAAAAGTAAAGGGGCTGATGGTAAGTTTCAAAGTTAGAACCTAAAAGGAATATAAATATGTTATTTTAAGCAATATCAGAAAAAGATTCCATTCAGGGCTAGTAAGCACCCCAAAGCATTTTCATTTGCTCAATTGATTTGCAGTATTACGATTAAGGAAAGTTGGCATTTTGAGATTTCAAAAGGAATGTTGAAAAGTCTTATATCTAGGTACGGGAACTAAAGCCCCTTGATCTAGGCATAGACCATTCCAAATTCTTCTGTTTTTACATAACAAAAAAATGTTAAGTGAAGATATGTTCAAACGACAATGTACTTCACTAGGGGGTGCTAAACACCTAAAATGAAAAATAAATGTACAATTCTGTAATAAAATATTACAGTCAAAATGCATCCTTTCATAGACCCTATGGATATTATACATACTTTTCAATTACTTTAGTTTATAGGTGAAATTTACTTTAACAAGAATTTGAGAAATTCTTGTTTAATCTGTTACCCATTATTATATTATTAAATAAAGCATACTCGATTCTGGATGATCTTGCAAATTCTAAAAGAAAACAGATGTTAGCATCTTTTATATATATACTTTCTTTAGCTAATTTAAGGCGCTCTGGTGGTACAGGCTATGAGTGAGGCTGCTAACCTCACCGTGGTTCACACCCACCCATCACCCATGGGTGACAGGTGCGGCTGTGGGCTCCGGTAAAGATCCGAGCTCTCGGAAACCCACAGGGGCGCTGCTATTCTGTCCCAGATGGTCACCATGACATTAAAAGGATCTTTATTCTTACATCTTGGCCCCTTTGCCAACTTAATAACCTTTGAAAACAGAAATACAGTTTATAAAACATTTCTAAAATGTCCTTTAAAGAGTCCCGGTGGTCTACTGGTTATACTTTGGGCTGCAATCCTCACGGTCAACAGTTTGAAACCGCTACCAGCTATGCAGGAGAAAGATTGTTTTTTTTCACAGTTACAGTCCCAGAAACCCAGAGGGGGTGTCTATGAATCTGCACTGGCTCAATGGCAGTGAGTTTGGTTTAGGGGAGACTGGAAAGAGAGTTGTAATAGTCTTTGGGAGCCATGACATTAATACTAATAGGGCAATTACACTTCCTTGACCCCTAATTGGAGCCCGTGCTGTTCTGCTGTCTACTACAGAAACTACCACACCAGCAGCAATTACAGACACGCAGGACTAGTTCTGAAAATGACTTTTTCTCTCTGTTTTCTCCCAGGTATAGTAACTTCTAAGTTAGTTTCCTCTAGTGCAGCAGTTCTCAACCTTCCTAATGCCGTGACCCTTTTATACAGTTCCTCATGTTGTGGTGACCCCCCCAAGCATAAAATTATTTTTCTTGCTACCTCAACACTGTAATTTTGCTACTGTTATGAATCGGGCGAACCCTGTGAAAGGATCGTTCGACCCCCCAAAGGGTTGCTCTAGTGTAAACCAGTTGTGCTTGCACTAAAATCCATGTTAACAGTTCTACACATTCCCTATTGGATATGAAAACTAAAGTGACACACAGGCTTAATCATAATTATCAAATGACCATATTATTAAAATGCCTCAGGTGTGTGTCTTCTTCAGATATACTCATCTCAGCCATGGCCTGGTGGCGCAGCAGGCTACACACTGAGCTACTTACTAACCACATGATCAGTGGTTCAAATCCACCAGCTGCCCCAAGCGAGAAAGCTGAGATTGTCTGCTCCTGTTAGGTTAGGGTCAGAAACCCCAGAGGAAGTTCTACTCTTTCCGATGGGGTCACTATGCATCGGCATCGACTGTATGGCAGTGACCGAGAATCTCAGTCAAAGGAGTCCTAGTAGCACTGTGGGTTAGGCACCAGGCTCCAGACCTCAGTGTGTGTGGTTCTAACTCACAAGCTTTCCTAAAGAGAACAAGCAGGCTGTGTGCTCCTATGAAGATCTACAGTCTTAGAAACCCTGTTTAGGGTGCTATGAGTCAGCACTAATTCAAAGGCAGTGGGTTTTGGTTTGGGGAATCTCAAACAACCTTCTAGATTTACCAGTCATTCGGACTGTAATTCCTTAAAGTTCTTCATTTCTACAGTAGGTCTCAACCTGAAGCTATGGTTGTTACTCGGCTAATATAGAAAAAACTGTTTTAAAATGCCCAAATCATTTGTCCCAACACCTTCAAATTGGCCCAAGCACTGCTAAGCCATTCAAAAGGCCAGGGCCAACTACTGCACAGGGTTTCTGGAGCTGTGAGTCTTTACAAGCAGGCAGTCATACCTTTCTGACCCCAGGGAAGCTGCTGGGTTGAACTGCTCACCTTTTAGCCTGTCTGTGCTTAGTGCCCTGAGGTTCCAGGGCTCCGAAGACTGACAGTGAGTCAATAATACCTCCAGTATTCAATTACTTTATCTGTGCTCATTCCAAAACTACTTACTGAGAACGAGGCACTACTCAACAGGCTACATTTAGAGCTGTCATGGAAGTCATGGCCAGGCCCGCATCGAGTCCCTCATCACGGAGCAGATGAAAAGACCCCACTGTGCCTGGGTCAGAGCTGTGCTGCACACAGATATGCTAAGACAGGCAGAGTATGTGCAGACTGGGTGGGTAGATATTTGGTAATATTTCACAAATAAAGTGTGAACAAGGGAGGACACTCCTGGAAAGGTGACATCTGACCCAAGTGGGGTGGGCAGCCATGCGGCCATCTGGGGCTGTTGGAGCAGAGGACAGGAGTCGGAGGCAGGCAAGAGGAGTACACCTGGGTGCTCCAGGTCAGCAGAGGTAGAAGGAGAGAGGACTGTAACTCATCCAGTGAGACGATACGTACTCTGTTCGTATTTCTGGATCGCTGTGGCAGGAATGACACATGGCACTGAATCGAGACACAAAGAAGTCATAGCGCCTGTGATAGGAGGGGGTGTCTTCTTCAATATTTGCAAACTTGACAAACTAAAAAGCAAAGATAAGAGCATAAATGTTTGATCACGTTTTCAAAAACATGGCACAAACACATTTCCTTACGTTCCTGCACAAGAGAAAAGGACATGTCAAGTGAAGGAAACCTGATGTAAGCCCAGGAGAAGTGCGATGAGACGGTCAAATTGAGTGTCTCCTTTCCAACGACTGAAACTTTAAACAGTCTACGTGCGCTACAGAGCAGGGCCCTCCAAGCGTTGGTGCACAATTTTGCTTCTCATTAGTTGTCTCATTTCTTTTCATTTGATATATGAATCAATAACACAAACTACAAACTGTTACTTACATGCAGATTTGAAACATGTAAATGTGAGGACCTGCCAGGGTACAGAAGACTGGTGGCTGTAAAGGTATACATCTAAAGGAATTACGTAACCAACTTTACTGGGGCTCTGGTTTAAATGTGATTCATGATTCTCTAGCAAAGGGTCACAAGCACTGGCGCTGGCTCAGACTAAACTGTTGATCTACCTAGTCCAGTGGTTCTCACCCTATGGGCTGCGACCCTTTTGAGGGTCAAATGACCCTTTCACAAGGGTTGCCTCATTCTTCACATTAGCAAAATTAGAGTTATGAAGTAGCAACAAAAATTATTTTATAGTTGGGGGGTCACCACAACATGAGGAACTGCATTAAAGGGAGGGTCATGGCATTAGGAAGGTTGAGAACCACTGGGCTGGTCAGTCCTGCCCTCTGGGCTAGCTGTGGCTCCTGAGTTCCCATGTCAACAAGCCAGGAAGGAGTGTGCCAGCCGTGACCCCATTTTGCTTGAACTACCCCAAAACACCCTTTATACAAGATGTTTCTAATTTTCTAATAAATAAAATAACATTATACAGAATTACCTGTGATCATGAGATTTATAGGCAACGTCCTGGAAAATGTCCAGCCATTTTAAAGGAGAATAATCCTTTTACACTTTTAATTCACAAGAGAGCGGTCTTACTCACAGAGTTCGTTCCAAGCACTTGAAGCTTTGGTTCCCCGGACTCCAGCAGTTTTGCCACCATGTGGAGAAAGCTTTCTACGAATGGCTTGATGCTCTGAGAATGACAAGCCATAAGCAGCTGGTCCAGCGCCTCCATAGCAATCAAGACATACCTGAGGGCAAGAGAAAAGTCCATGTCAGAGCATGTCTAGCCCCCTAATTCTCCAGACGGTTTCTTACACACGCGGAACACAGAGAGGCAGTGAAATCCGAGAAAGGATCCCGGACAGCAGGCATGACTTCACAACGAGGGAGCCTGGTGGTGCAGTAGCTAGCTGCACAAGTGACTCTGAGGAGGAAGATGAGGCTGTCTGTTCCCGTAAGGAACTGAAGGTCTTGGAAACCCATAGGGCCAGCTCTCCTGTCCTGTCGGATGGCTATGAGTCAGAACCGCCTCCACGGCAGGGAGTGAAGTCCAAGTGAAGACTTCGCCATGCTGTGGTGCACTGCAAGCTGAACGCGCCACCGAACCAAGCGACTGCTGCTGACTGCGTGTGACCCCACCGAAACAACAAACTAGACTGTTGATAACGGGCGGGTTTTTTTAATGGATTTGATCCTTTACGGATTTACATCCTTTATCAACTCTGACTACATAATTACTATAAACACTGAAAACACTCAACCACCAGAAATCCCCATTACACCGAACCCACTCCTGAGTCACAGTGACCCTGATACACAGAATTAGATTTTCTTAGGACAAAGAGTTGAGAAATGATTACGTCTGAATTATAAAGCTTAAAAGTTAGTACTTGCAAAGTTCTTAAAAACAAAAGAAATAGTAAAAAGAAGAATCCAAATATAATTATCCCTCTGTTAGCAAGATGAAATAGGGAAAAGCAATTTTACATTACGTAGTCAGAAGTAAAGGCCCACCAGCAAGCAGTCTCTAGAGGTGGGAGGGCTAACCCACTGCATGTACACAGGTCACACTGAGGACCCCAAGGTCCCACAACTTCACACTTTTTACCTACTCTGGTCATGGTCTAAGACACAACATTGAAAATAAACAAATGTGAAGTCCTTAAATGATGGGGGCAGCACAGGAAAAACAGACCGACACCCCTGCACGTGCTTTCCTAGCAATTTGCTTCCTTACCCGGACCGATGCCTCACAACATCCCTGCTCAATCTTTCCGCCAGGTAAGACCCAATCCGATCCAGTTTCTCGGGAGCTGATACTGCATAAAATGTCAGCTTCTCCATGTCAGCTTTAACGAGGCCATCCTGAAAAAGAAGTATAAGAACAAGGTAAACAGGTTACTAAGGCTTTCATGCTCTCTTGTTCATTACTTTTGGGGCATTTTGAACTGTTGCTTTTCTTTTCTCTTTCCTTTGGTGTACAGATTGGCATCCATGCCAGGCCCTTTCTTTTGCAGCCCATCCTCACTTGCGATGAGAGACTCATTTCCTCTGCCTCCAGACTGGATACACCCTTCACAGCTCAGCACATCTGAGGGGCACCCCATGACAAAGGCGAAAGCTTCAGTATTTACTCTTATTAGCATGTGACTGGCTAGTAGGTACATTATAATATAGTGTGAAGGATGCTTACGCTTTAAGCCAGTCAACAGATGCACCACATCTCAGGAGTTGCTTATGTGCCTCGGTTTATCCACACTCAGTTAGCAGCCTATTGTGTGCGATTTACTCATCTCTTGTATGTTTCTGAAAGTTTTCATCAGACTTGACTAAAAACATGGCATTTTTTTCTATATCAATTTAATATTAGACTCTGAGTCTTCAGAAAGTTTAGTTTAAATAATAGTATTCAAAATTTGAAACAAGTGGCATTTCATAATAAAAAGGTTATTATGAAAATCAAACGGCACTTTTTCTGAAAGACATTTAAATAAAAAGAGCACCCTTGCCCTGCAACCTCCTTCCTTTACTTCTCCCTTCTCATCCTTGTCTGTTCTCAGGCTGGAAACTCAGATTTCAGTACCCCTCCCATGCCCGGGGAGACAGCACTCCAGTAGCTCCTGTGAGCCCACTGTTTTCACCTGGCCAAGCACCAGCCCTTTCCTGGTCTGTGTGTGTGCGAGAGCATGAGTAATCCGCACTGGTTCAACTTGTGGACCCTCAAGCACTTCTTACATTCAGGTCCTAAGAAGGAACCAGTCCAACTGGCTACTGGAATTCATTTCAGATTTCTGCTTAAGCTGCAAAAGACTCTGAAAACTCAACAAGCTAGCTACCAAGAGTCCTCTAAAAGTTCAGTCCAAGAAAGCATAGAAGCAGTAGTGCTTGGGACGGGACTCTGGGGTAAGCGGAGAGAAATGAAATGAGGGCAATCTTAGGGAGGTGGGCAGGGGGAGGGTGGGTCAGCAAAGAGAAGGGTCAGGAGGTGGAGAGCAATTACTTTGGGGTCTTCAGGGAATATGTTGTCCACCAGGCGCTTGTAACGAGGGCGCAAAGCAGAACAGCAGCAGCATACTCCTGTGTGGAAAGGACAAGAAGCACAGCGATTATTCAGCGTGCACGTGACCTGTAAATTCAAGGTTGTCGCTACCAGGCTACTCCAGGCAAAGGGAAAAACCCAAACTGTCTTAAAGAGGAAAAAGCATGGCAAATTCAATCACTGAGAAATGAGAACAAACAATGTATCCACCTCTTCTCAAGACACCAGGTCACCACAGATACATCGATGGCGTCTCCCACAGTTCCACCCTGTTCTGGCTCACCATCACGACCCCCCCCCATCCTCTGTCTGTGCTGTTGTTGGGTACCACTGATGCCGGCACATAGCAACTCTGAGTACAGCAGAAGGGAACATTACCAGTTCCTGTGCCACGCTCACCACCATACTAAGCCCACTGTGGAAGTCCCTGGAGCAATCTGTCTCATTAAGGGTCTTCTTTTTCACCCACCCTCTACTTTACCAAGCATGATGCTCTTCTTCAGGGATTTCCTCATGCCAAATTCATACTATACATCCTACTACATGTGTATAATTATAATCCATACTCATGGAACCTAATCTCATACCAAAGCCTATATATACATAATATGTATCCATCACACATGATAACCACCTCCTTGCTGGCCCTGGCCAGTGTACTCCACTCCAGCCCCAGTGTCCTGTCTGGGAGCCCTCACACGCGTCAGGCACCTTGCTTTAGATCTTTGTTCCCTCACTGCAGCATGCTCAGGCAGCCACTGGAATAACAAGACTCCACTGAACGCTCACCTTCTGAACCAGGCCAACTCTGGCCACCTGCGTCGGCTCTGCCTTTTACTTTTTTCCACAGCACCCATCACCCAACATATTACAGAACTGACCTATTCTGCCCATCATTTATCAGCCATCCCCTCTCACACGGACAAAGGCTCAGATGAAGGCAGGGGTCTTGTTCGTGCCCAGGCAACTGGTCTCGCCCCCAGCACAGAGCAGGCATCCAAGTATGTGCTGAGGGAATGCATGAACAGAATCTCATTTCTATCCCAAGTTCTTCCGTGCTGCCCCTTCTTTCCACGTTTACTGGTCTCGCTCAGTCCCTGTGTCTTGCCTATATTTTCCCCACAGCTTCCTAGCCTTCTGCTCCCTTAAAGATGTCCAGCCTCAGAAACCCCGAGGGGCACGTCTACTCTGTCCTACAGGGTCGCTATGGTTCAGAATGACCCAGTGACAGGGAGCTCCTCCCTGGCACACTGATACTTACATATGTGTCCAAATGACTGGATGGAAGAGCCTCTCAAAGCTACAATTTTTCTGTGTTAACCTCTTTCATACTCTACAAAATTAGAATATTGGAAAATAGCTAACTTTTTTAGTGAGCATATTCTAGCCTGAGAAACCACCACAGAATAAAATAATCCCCGTTAAAGGAGAATGAAAAGGAACACAAAACAGCAGGGCTCTGCAACAGAGAAGCAAAGTAGCCAGGGCCTGACTTATAACCAACTTGACAACAGTGGGTTTGAGTTTATTAAAACAAAACGAGCACATACATAAAAATGCCAGGAAGGACAATTTATTAAGGAGACATATCAAATACCCACTTAATTAAAAGAGTAGTTAAAAGGCCATTTTGCAGTTAATAATGTCAATGCTGATTAGGAAGCCTTAAAAAGCAATGTACACTGCAAATGGCTCTCTAATTGGATAATTTACAATACACACGGAGGGTCATACCATGTCCCTCTCCTTTGGTCCCGTAATTTGACATTTAGAAATTTTCATCAGGGGTCCTGAAACAGAGAGGTCAAAGAACCATAGCAAAAAAGCATGTGTGCAGCAGTGATGCTCGGTGCAAATCACCACTGGAAACCCGCCCCCAGCAGAGCGCAGCAAGAGACAGTTCCAGGTAGGGGCCACGGCGTTTCCTCTACATGCAGCGGCTGGGCAGGGGAACCCACCTTCTGAATCCCTGCGACTCCATGCTCTGCTCTTCCCATGTGTAGGTATCAGTGATCAATTCAGCCAAGATGCAAATATCTAACGTGTAACTCACAACCTGACTAAAGGTTCTCAGTGGTGCACTGGTTCAAGCTCTTGGCCCCTAACCCAAAGGTCAGAGATTCAAACCCACCAGCCATTCCATAGGAGAAGAGAAGACAACCGCTGCCTTGAGAACCTATGGGGCTTTTCCACCCTGTCCCAGAGCCCCTGTGAGTCAGAATCGACGTAATGGCAGTGATCTCAGTGATGACAGGAACGCTAGTCCTAGAGGGTAACAGGATTTAGTGAACTGGAGGCTGGTGGACGAAACAGGGCAGCCCCTGCAGTAAAGACCACAGCCTTGGACCCCTGTGAGGCGGGTGTGCTCAGACCCGGGGGGCCACCACAAGCTGGGACCAGCCCAGTGGCGGCACAGGTGTGGCTAACAGAGATGGGAACATAAAAAAAGATGAGAGTTCTGTTTTAAGCTTATGAACTTCTATTTAAAAAAAAAAAAAAGCCACTCATTCAGTAGTCTACAAAAGCTGGCAACCATAAGCTGATAAACTG